TCAAGCTGACAAGGCCCTGAGCAACCTAAGCCCTGCAGGAGACTGAAGCAGACAATCTCCACACACCCTTTCCAACCTAAATTCTTCTATGATTACATTTTAAACTGCATTTCCGTGTAATATGTTCCTATCTAGGAATATATACTGAAGCCAAATTTGCTAATGGCCATTTTTAGAGTGATTACAAAGCACAGTTGAGAAACCAGAGAAAGACTTAATTAAATTAGCAAACTGGACATCACAACGACAAAATAAATTCAGCACAAACCAGCATAAGATATTGCATGCCATGTTACACTAATGGATTCAGATATTAAGTCAGTGGGAAAATAAAATATGTGGCCTTTCATGGAAAAGGTCTCTGCTGTTGCAAGGAAGACAACACACACCTGCTCCATGCTCTACTGTGATGAAGAAACAAACTACATACAAAGAAATATTTAGTGGATGGAAGCAAATGTTTAGTGTCAACATGAGACAGCTGTAGTAATAATCAACATATTTTCTTTCAGTATTTATTCTATCATCTCAAGATGAAATAAAAGAGAATTAAATTGACCACAGCAGTGATGAGAAAAGCAGTAGCTACATAATAAGAAATTAAGCCTGACAATTAGTCAGCTAAGTAATTCCAAAGTAATGTAACCGAGGTATATATACACATACAATAGAGGAGGACAGCTTCAACTTTCAAGGAGTTTTTTCTTTTAATAAAGAATGGTTAGCATAAATTCATTGACACATATGTTAGTCAACTACTTATTTTGAAAAAGCTTATTTTTATAAGACAAGCATCTGTAGGAGAGCTTTCTAGGGGGAAAAAAACCATACCAATCAATGCTCCTACCTTTTAGCATAAGCTGAATAATATAAAAGTATCAAATATTTCATATAATCTGTAGGTATATTATGAAACATTACATATTTGTTCTGATTCTTCTGGTTGTTTTTAATACAGGAGAAAAGAAATAAAACACAATATGCTACTAGAAAATCTCAGAAAATTGTGTCTCACACTTGCAACCAGTTTTTGAGGTTTTTAATGGCTCAGTTACAGCAAATAAACCATGCACTTCATCACATTGCTGACAAACTTTCACTTAATACATGTTGTGTTGCTAATTTGGCTGAGTAATTTGGTACAGTAATTTGGCTGTACACTTTTATTAATATTATCTTGGATACGGAATGACTTTGCATTTAAACCAATGCTATTTGATGTGCTACATTAAATTTAAACATTCCACATCTAGTACAGTAAAGTCTTTGTAGTACTATGTTTTAAAAGGTGCTTATTTACTCATACAGCTATAAGCTCATCCATTTCTATGAACAGAGTTCCAAGAACAAAATAGCAACTGCTCAAATTAACCACTATCGCTGTTAAGCAGCACATCTCTCCCAAGGCAGTAAGTGGTTATGCTCCCCTTGTGCATGCAAAACTTCCATTCACATTGGTGAGGGACAGGCACACCAAGAGACAACTCAGCCATTTCTGATATGATGGCTCCTGTTAAAACATCCTCCACTGGTCTCTGCCTGGTAGCTTTATGAAAACCTCTGAAATTCATCAGATTTACAAGTCCAACTGAAGTTTCACCTTCAAGAGCTTGACTGCAATGTTAACTGTGCTGCCCCAGTGTCCTACTTCATTTTACTGTCACCTAGAAAACCCAGTGCTCCCAAATAACCAGCCATTTTGAACACTGTACACAATAAACTTGAAAAAGGAAGGGGGGGGACGACGACGACTGGGGACGGACGGACCACACGACACACTGATGACACATGAGATGAGGTGACCCAGCCTCAACTGTGGAGATTACTGTGAATAGGTCAATAGCATCAAATTCAGTGCAACCATGCCACAGCACCATTGCTGCTGAGGATGTAACGTGTAGTGTACGAAAAGGCTTCATCAATAACCATTGTGAAATTCTTAGGAAAAATAGAAATTGAGGTGTTTTGGTATTATATATTTTCTAAATAAAGCAAGAGTCTCAGGAAAACAGCAAATACATACTGTAGCAACAGAAATGCCATATGAATAAACCCAATTTACTCAGTTTCTTATGACCAGTAACCCATCGTTCCCAACCTCCCTCACGACAAAACAACTCGCCATATACCACAGTAACAACAGAGCTGGCTAAGAAGTAGAATATTTTCACAGGTTTGTGAAACTAGTTTTCTAACAGAAACTTACTAGTCTGAAAAGTAACACTCTGGAAATTGCATTGGGATTTCATCCTTCCTTCCTTTAAAGATTTTTCCGTATCAAGTGTGCCTAATGTATTCCTGCCCTCAAAACCTAAACCAAGGCCAGCCAGCAAAGCAGTGTTCTCCTCTAATTCATACTTCACCAATAACATAAGCTTCCCATATCTAGAGACAAATTCTCATCTCAATGACACCAGCGTCTCAACAACAGATGCCTTTTCAGCAATATAACTATCATCACTGTTGTTCCTACACTGGTATAAACATCTAAGCTCCTAAAAAATAAAAAATTACAGCCTAGCAAACATAGTTATGCCAATAAAACCATTCTAGTAGCAACAAGGTTAATTCTTAATTTAAAAATAATAACAGAGATCCTAACGTGTTCTCTTGTTATGTTCTTAGATTAACACTTGCACAGACCTGACTTCATACAGAATGCTATCCCGAAGGCAACAAAACTGCATTGAAATTTCTGTCTGGAACTCAGTAAACACCATCATTTCTGATAATCAAAAAAGAACGTAATTCACCCGTTCAACTGTGCTGGGTTTGCAGTCTCAGTAAAATTTTTAAGTAATGAGAAGTATTTTGCCCATAAAAGCAGCAATTATAATTGAGTATGATGAATAATAGCATAATTTCAACCATGGCTACTTTTCAGAGCAGAATCACACTAGAACAAGATAACCTACACAGTAGGCAATGAGACCCCTGAAAACAACAAAACAAACGAACCAATTGTTCAAAACTCTTGGCTTAGTTTATTCCCAAATACAAACTCTTGTGCCTCAGCATGCATTAGAATATATTTATTGCTACATATGCCAAGGTACATTCTAGGAGAGCTGCTAAGGGAAATATGCTATGAAGTCAAATCCATGTAACGGAGTTGGGGAAAAGGTATAAAAACTTCATAAAGCATAGAAGTTCCCCATTGTTTTCAATCGTAGTGGTTATAAATATAAGGGAGCAAAAGCATTGCCCAATGCAAATAATACCACTATATCATGTTGCACCTCAGCCCTGACCTGCAGCAATCCTTCTGCTCCAGTTCCCATGCCTCTGCATTACAGACTTTAATCACACGGGAAGAGGTTAAACTAGAGGTATGGGTTTACGAGAAAGACAAACATCCATGCAAGACAAGGCTGATGCCACCACTCATTTTCAACGACCAACTCCATCTGCCCAGGAGGAAAGAGTAGCACATTAACTTGTCAACCCCTCAGGTTCCGTTTTGTTCTGCTCACATAAGGCAACCAGCAGCAGTAAACCATTGCTCACAAAGGCATGCTCATGAACAGCTCATGAGCGCTGGCTGTGCCTAACACTGTGTAAGGATATGCAGCTGCACTCACTCTCCACATGCACAGCGGTGGGGGCGGGTCCTGCACGGAACCATAAAAATGTTTGGGAAGAACTGAGGATACGCTCCTGGGAAAAAACATAGCTCTCTTACTGCTCTCCTTAGCTCCCTGGCTGACTTTTGTTTTGTTTGATTGGGTTTCTTTGTACACTGGGCCAGGACACCTGAAGAGTGATCAATAGTTGCAATGCTAAAGCTGATAAATCTGAGTTCCTCATGCTTTTCATACACGTTTTATCTGTGTTTAAGTAAATATCAATAACGACATTACAGCGAGTGCAGCAGGGAGAGCACAGGGACAGAAAAAGGCAAAGTACTCAGCTTTCCACACACATACAAATAAACACGTCTTCCCATCCCCCACTCTGCTACCCAGAAATTTTTGCCAAAACACATGCCATTTTTGCCTTCAATAAAAATCAGCAAGATGGGAACCCTACTAAGCAGGCCTTGTAATACCTATCCAGCCCAGGCTCTTCTCCCTAATGTTTTCGTTTAAATCATTAGCACTCATCATACTAAGATTTTAAAACATATATATAGTTTATGAGCAAGTTTCACTCATACCAGCTCATTAATAGCCTTTTTTCTGAATCCACATACCTTTACAATCACATCCAAAACAATCTTTATTAAGGCGCTCTCTCTATTTTCACTGGGAGTATCTCACTCCCCCTCACACTTTCTTTTTTGTACCATAAAGCAAGCATCACCTTGTCATCCGATTCCCTTGTTCACGTTTTAAATTTAATCAGAATACCTGAGGTGTCAATAATCATGTTTCTCTTTCTGACAAGAATCAGAAATGGAAATAAAGCTCATGCTGCATAACAACAATGTAATCTGCAGTGCTGCATCTGAACAACTTTTCAATAAGTCTAAAGCAAACTCCTCTTTTAGCTGAAAACATACAAAGAAAGTCAGCCTTTTGAAACTAAATTTAATAAGCCAAGCAACTGGATCCAAACACTAAAAAATAAATTAGTTAAAAGCCACTATGAAAGATGCCAGGATCCCCTCTCAAATTATCAGCATCACGTTTCAAAAAATATATTTCAATTAATCAAAATAAAAATGGGAGAGGAAAAAAATGTCACTATTATGCTAGATATTTATTGCTAAAATAATTAATATTCCCCCTCGTTGCTTAAGACTGTATTACTAAAACAGTCCTAGCAGCAAAGTTAGAAAGTAATACATAGCCTAGGGTGCCCTCTTTCTTTTCCAAGAGGAGTTTCAGGGAAATAGTCTGTTCATGTAGATGTTAGTCAGTTGTTTCTCAAAAAGTCAAATACAATAGCTAACTAGGCTGTATTAAAAAAATGTAAACATGAAAGCAGTTCAGCATAACTGAAGTGATATCCTTGCAGTGGTGATGAACATGATTCTACCTTAATAAAAATATACTTACAGAGCCATCTGAAATTGCTCAAGCCATTTTTTCTTCAAGTCTTTAGTTTTGCAATAAACTTCTAAACCATTTTGACCTTGGATATGAATGAGGTAGAAGCCATAAGACCACTGCATAAAAAGATTGGCAATACAAAGGTCATCAGTTATGAAGAAAGGAAAAGGGAAAAAAAATAAAGAAGCATTTGTACATTCCTTAATTCCCTTATTTTGGGAACAGCAAGACCATATTATTGTGTTCACTTAGGAATGACTTACTCAAACACTCCAATTACATCAAAATAAAAAAAGTTGAAATCCCTAAATATTCACTCCAGCTTACATTTAAAACATAAAACTTTGTAAATAAATTGTATATACATTCTGAAGTCCTCCAAAATGTTTCAAATTGCTGCTAAAAATATATATTTTATATGAATTTGCAAGAAATATTTACCTTCTTATTTTCTTTATCAGTAGTGGGGTTATTTGTAATTTTGTATTTCTGAAGATCTATTATTTCCTTCATTTCATAATTATCACCTCTCCGTTTGCAAACAATTACAGCTAGATCAAACAAGAAGATATGCCTATGAAAATACAATATAAAGAAGGTTAAAAACACTCCAGAAAGCCAACACCCAAAGTCTTATTTTACACAACTTTGCCTGTGGCACTTAAAAATTTGAAGGTGAACAACTAAACTACTGAATAACAAAACAAAAAAAACCCACTGAAAGTACTTCTGCTAGAGACTTAGTACTTGCAAGGGACTTAGGTGATCTTAGATGATAACATAATAGCTAACTTCCCATGAATCACTTTGCAAATTCACTTGGTAAACAGTGCATAGGCTCTGTGAATGGACAGGAAAGTACTCTGAAGAATCACTGAGCTGACCTCAAATCTAAAAAGAGAGTTACTTTACAGGCTTTTAAATAGCAAACACCAGAAGTCATGCCATCACCTGTCTTGCCTTGCACGTTTGTCCAATGTAGTTATCCTTATTTCCCCATCACCTTGAGGTCTTCCATACTGTAAGAGGGAATGATTCTGAAACAGAAGTAATATGTATGATTCAATATAGCAAAAGCATCAAGATGACAGCACATTCAAATGTTAGACCACTCACTCCTTTTACCCCAAAAAAGGACTTTTCAGGCCTGAAAACAACATCTTTTCCTCACCACCATCTACAGTAAAGAATCGGTCCATTCCAGTTTTGTCTTCAAATGGGAAAATTTTTCCCATTACAAAAACACCTGAGTCACTGTACAAATACAAACCTTTAACTATGCAAATATATATATTAACTACAGACAGAACCCTAAAATAGCAGAGATTTCTGTACTTTAATATTCATGTCATTCTAAACCAAGCAATGCATACTTACACTTAAAATATTACCAAGAGTACTATAATTTCATCTGAAATGTGGAAAAAATACATCTATCAATATATTTGATCAAAAGTCATTTAAAAACTGTATAAGAAAAATATCACTTACCAAATTCTCTATTGATAGCTGAAACTGTCTAATTTCACGGAGCGTTTCATTATCTCTCTTTACTTCATTTACATATTGAGCCAAGTCCTACAGCAGCAACAGAAAAAGGGAGAAAAAAGAGTTTTCCATAACAGACCACTTTAATACCTCATTTTGGCAAATTTATTTCTAATTTTGTCTTTGACTTATCTGCATATTTAGTAGGGTTTTTTTAAAAATATCTTTTATGTTCAAAAATTACCAATATGCATGGCTAAATAAAGAAGGAAAAAAGCCTCTGCATATTTTCAATCGTATTTACAACTTTCTTCCTCATATCCATTGAAGCACAAATTGAGTAGTAAGAAAGAAGGAAACATGTAATAAATTGTAAAAAAGGCCTGATTTTTTCTGAATTTTGTTAATGGCTTATATTCAAGATTAAAGACGGAAATGGAATTTATGCAGCACACTGCCAAAAAAGCAGTCAACAACATCCAATATCAGAGAATAAGACAGAAGGTAAATAGAGCATATAGTAGAAAACGTATGTAAGGCAGCTCAAAAGCAGCATGTAAGGTGTAAATGTATCATAAGCCTGTGTGCTTATTAGGAGAGAAGCTACTGCCCCAGTAGTAGGATCTTGCTCTTACTGTTGCACCGCAGAGAGAAGCCATTACGCAGCAGATTTTAAAAGGGGCCTTTAATGGGATGTACTGCCTGAAGTCACAGGTTGAGATCATTATTGTCCCCTTTACCAGAACATGTACTGTACACATTTCACTACAGCCTTTAAAATGCTCTGAACATGCTTGAGTAATAGTGACAATTTGCTGGGGCATCTCTGTTTATGGCTACAGATGAGGAGTGAGCAGGAGTGGTAATTGGTAAGGTCAGGGATGCCAAGAGCAGGAGTTGGAAAAGACATTCTGATCTTTACAACTTGCTTTTACAGTATCCCTTCAATATGGTCACAAATTTGGAGGGTGGGAGAAAGGTACATCTTCTTTTTAAGACAGTTTTAATCAAAATCTAAGAATAGCTGCAATCATTATGCTAGCTTCCCAAATGAATCTGTGCAGGATACACTCACGTAAGTCTTGAAAGAGTTAGTGTAAAAATGAAGTAGCCTCTTTTCTTGCTGCTAAAAGAAATCTGACAGCATAATGCTTCCTAGAATTTTCTTTCTTGGGGGGGAAGTACCACTTTGCTGGCAGTTTTTCGAAAGACATTTGATTTTCGAGCAGGTACACCAGGGTTTTTAGAAGCAACATACCAATGCTGCACAGTTAACTTCTACTACACTGGCAGGGACTATTTTAAGAGGATACAGTACATCGGGAGGGTAACAATGCTGCAACCTTAAGAGGAGATGCTCATATCTGGGTTGTTTTGTGGGTGGGTGGGGGGAGTAGTGGGTTTTGTTTCATTTTTGGTGTTTGGGTTTTTTTCTCAATTGGCTGGTTATGTCCTGCCAGCCAGCACGTAACTGCCACAGCCACTCTGGCATGAGATTTCTTAATTGGTCTTTTATTTTCAGTCCAACAGCCACCAAAACCAATGAAGCAAACCAGCAAATGGGAAAGAAAAAAGGGAGGTGGGAGGGAATAAAAACCAAGGTTATTTTCCTAGCCAGTTAGCAGCAGCAAGGATGCATGGCTTGCCACTAGATGGAAGCAACACTGTGCCATCCCATTTCAGGCATCCTTCCGTGGGAGATTATCATGGTGGCTTCTCTCTACATTCACTGCACAAAACGGATAACAAAAAAGGGGAACCAAAATCTCATTTGTGAGCTGGTCTGTATTCCAGCCATTCAAGGCAGACAGTCACGTAATATGAGACAGCTGTGTGACCCAAAACTAACTTCCATGGACCACACATATTACAACAAGAGATATGACCTATGTCATGTTGGCTTCTTTCCCCCTTTCCCAACAAAGGATAGAAAAAGTTTCACAATTCCAGCACATGAATGTCACGATTCATGCCGTGAAGCCAGCTGAAGCAGAACTGTGCTTCATTTCTGAAGCAGTGCAGAGGAACGCATAATGTATTACCTTATACATAAGGCAGTACAGCTATACACAAAGCATTTGTTTGTACCACCTGCAGGTGAACGTACAGTGACAGATATTCTACCTCCAGAAAGACACTACTGCTTTCAAAGGTAAAGCCACAGAGATCATATTAAGATGACAGGAAAAAAAAGTCTTGTAAAGAAAAATAATTGTCTTCATCTCACTGGGAAACTACTGACCTTGATTAGAATTGACCTACAGTGGTACAAATATTCCTAAATTTTGGAAGCGAGACCAACGTTATTGAAACACCTATTTTTCATCTCATTTTATGACAGCAAAATGATACAGAAGTAAACTGAAATAAGGAAGTTCCATTTCATAAACAGTCCACTTCAGAAAACTACTGAACTTGCTTCCCAGACTTGAGCAAAGCCCTGAACTATATATACTTGTCCTGACATACTCACAAAGTTCACAGTGACCTGTGAAAACGTTTGATCTGCTGTGAAGATTATCTCCCCCAGGAAATACAGTTCTGAGCTACTATTTTAACTGCCAACAAAGACATAAATACTTCATTGCCATGAATACTTACCTTCATTGCATCAAGTGCCAGTTTTAGATTTGCCTTCTCCATGGGATCAGTAGTGTGCTTTACCAGCTCCTGTGGACAGAGCAGATAAAACCTTTCACCCACTGTCTGTCAGTTTATAATTGAAGTTATCATTGCTCACCCTCACCCCACCTCCCCACCCACCCCCCCCCAAAAAAAAAAGAAAAAAGCCAAAACCAGAAAATACAACCCAACATAATTCACATTTTCATCCCCACAGTTAGTAACCTATAACTGAGTGGGGACTACGGCAAACAGATAATTGGCAAGTGTTTAAGAACAACTGCTGTATAGCCTGAACACTGACTTTAGCCGATAATAAACCATCACTAATTTGGTCTGTCTAGCACTTAAAACTTGCCAAATCAGATCATTACTATACATGTGCGCTGAAAGCGCAGGTAAACACTAGAGTTCATTTACACATTACTATACAGTGTATAACCCCATTCCAAAGCCTGCACTTGTCTGCTGAGAGAGATGTATGCTGGCAATAAAATCTCAGCTAAACTGTGCACTGCTTAAAAGAAGTCGTTGTCTCATTAAGCCTAAGATAAAGCTGACTCAGAAGACATATTTAAATCAAAAGTGAATGTTTAAAGAATTTTTTTAGCCATTTCCCATATGGAAAATAAAAGGGCTTTTTAGGTTTTTATGAAGTGAAAGAGTAACCTCTTGGGAAACAGGTTATTTGTTCTTTATAATTTGAGAATTATATATTTCGGCTAACATAGTAACTTGCTAAAATCATAGGAAATGAAGGAATAAGTACTTATACTTCATATTACAATTCTAATAATTTACTGGATTTTTTTTCTTTCAAAGTCTATAAAATATTTTTCTTGTACAATGTATACTAGTGTCACACAACATAGTGACATATTGTATATCATCTTTTCATAATATACAGGTTGATTATAAAATCATGACTCAGATCTCCTAAGGTTTTTTTTTAAAAGCAGTTTACCATTCATTTTGTTTTTTCCAATTTTCCATTGATCAAAATATTGATGACATTTATAGAAATACTTCCAAAAATTTAACATTACAGAACGCATGTTGCTCTGCTGAGTCAACATTATGCTTCACATACAAATAGAAGATCTTTTTAAAATGACATTTTACAAGCATCAGCAGGGTTGACAGTCTAATATAGTAATATATTTCTTTGCAGCTGAATTAATGAGTCTCCTGGCACAGCTATCAAATTAAATTTATAAGACTCTCCACCCTTATTACAGGACTAACTGCAAAGCTAATGCTTTGTGGGTTATAACAAGAAGCATTTCAAAATAAATATGGCTTTATTGTAATTTATGACAGCAAAGAAGTATCTTAAAAGTATGCTGTAGTATGGTCCAGCTTCCTCTTTTGGAGGGTAATGGCTCACATTTCAAAATACCATGATTATAGTTTGGTACAACTAACCATTTTAAACATAGCAAGAATGATAGGTTCAGATACTGAGGAAACAATTGTGTTTTATTCTTTTTTCCCCAGATATGCTTCAGCTCTGAGGAATGATTTCTGTAAGAAAACCTGCACTTGACTGGAGTTTATTTCATAACAAATCAGCCTCAAACCTATGGAAATGTCAATCACGTCCTTTTGATAAAGACCTTTAGCTCTCATTCTTACAATCCACTAGTGATAAACAATCACAGTTTTGCTCTCAGCCCCCTTAAATTTCAAAAATAAAATACCTGGAGCAGTAGGTGATATTTTAGCACTCTCTGCATTGGAACCACTAAAAGATCCCGCAATGTAAATTTCCCATTATTGGCCCTCTTGGAACATTCCTAGTTCAAAGCAGAAGAAAGAACAAGACAAGAGAGTTAGAAAATAAAAATATTCAAGTGATATATATGAAAATTTAGTGATATATGGGCCAACCAACTATATTAAGCTTGAGATAAATAATATCAACGAAATGAAGGAAAACCGCTGATATGGCAATGATAGCTAAGCAAAAAAATAACTGGGTCTAGACACTTGTTCTTAGATATTTCAACAGAATGAGAAGGAGTAGAATAAACATCACAAAGACAACAGAAATTAGGCATTCCATTGAATTAAAAAAAAAAACCCAACATTGCCTATAAGCACAGTGAAGGCAGAAAATATTACATCTATTTTCAAAAAAAGCAAAAGATAATCTTGGAAACTACAGGCCAGTCTCACTTCAGCCCCTGCAAAAATTATGAAGCAAGTCCTCTTGGAAGCAATTTCTGGGCACATGAAGAAGGTGACTGGGAATATCCAGCATGGATCCACCACAGGTAAATCAACGCTTGACCTACTTGACTGCTTTCCACAATGAAGTGGCTAGACCTGTGAATGGGTGGGGAGAGTCTACCCTGACTTTTCTAAGGCTTTCAACATCATCTCCCACAGCATCCTGATATCCAGGCTGGGATGTTATGCTCCAGATGAACTATCTACTAGGTGTATGAAAAACTGGCTAAATTGTGAGGCTCAAATAGAGCAGTGACTAATGTTTCCTATACTACCTGAGAGACAGTTGCAAGTAGAGCTCCTCAGGGGTCTGTCCCCTGAGGGAGGGGGACCCCTCTCTTTTAATATCTTCAGCAATGATCTGCAGGAAAAGACAGAAGACACCCACAGCAAGTCTGCAGGCAACACCAGATTGGAGGGTGTAGGTGACACTCTTCACAGCATGTCGAACAGGAACCTCGCATGAAGACAACAAGGTGAAGACAATGTCCTTCACCTGTTATGTACTAACCAGGGACATGCTAACCCAGAGGGCTGACCAGCTAGGGAGCAGCTCTGCTGGAAAGGACACGGGGGTCGTGGCAGACAGCAAACCCTGTGAGGCTGTGGGACCAGGGCTTGTTCAGCATAGAGGTCCCTCCCAACCTGACTGATTCTGCAATTCTGTGTTCTCAGCTGAAGTGTCACGATAAACAGAAGGGTATCACTGATGATCACTTCCCAAAAACACTCCTAACCATACTGATGTCAGTGGCAAAACTCCATTCACTTCAGTGCCAGGATGTGTACTGCAACAGCTCACATATTCATTTGATCAGAGGCTCCAAAAAAAAAAAAAAAGGAAGAGAAACACATGCCTGTATCAGTCCAGCTAGTTTTTCCATCATAAAGTTTTTGACCTGGATGAAAACAGGGCATATACATAGAAACATATATAGGTGGTTTTATATATGTATGTATATATATATATGTATTAAAAAAATACTGATACCTCTAACTTCAATTTAACATCCTCTTTTGTCTTAGAGATGTTGTCTAAGCATGATATCGCTATCTCCACTTGACTGCAGTAGTGTCCGTAAATAACCAATCTAAATCAAAGCAAGAGATAAAGAATAAAAGGAACATGTGCTTATTTAAGAACAATCCTTGATCATTTTTCACAAATACATTGTTAACAATCCTCCTTTCAAAAGGAGCAGTGCCTAAATAAACAAGGATAGGATTTAGCCACAGACTTCAATGGGCAACATGAATACAAGAAAGAATATTCAGGAGAACAAAATTTTGATCTACTTCAAAATGCTACAAAATCATTGCAATTTCCTTTAATATTCACATGTATATGTTCTGATAAATACAGGACTCATTAAAAAGCAGCGTAACTGCTGTTTAACAGAACAACAGCCTGTAGTATTTACAACACTGCAGATTTCCAAGGTTGTCGTGAATAAATTCTGTAACGCAGGCTTAACAGGATTAATTACAGCTATCCTTTAAAAAACTTGTAGGTTACCCAGACTGATCCATCTCCAACAGTTTCTACCAGGTTATATCCGGTGAGCTCTCAGATCAAAATAACAGTGGATGAAAACTTAAGAAATTTTCAATAGTTGTCAAGGGCAGCAATGCTTCTTGAAGGAGCCTGGTTTTATGACAGGAGTTTCTTGCCCCTGTTTGGAGTGTTTCTTTCTGCTAGTCCCATTGCGAAGTGTGCTGTTTCATTTCACCTCTTCATAAATTTCTTGAGGTGTTCCTTTGGATGCTTCAAATCCCTTTTTTGGGGGTCCCCATGAGCTTTCCATTGGGGTGTCCTAAATTTCTTTTTCTCTTGCCTAATCTTTACCTTTTTTCTTTTTTTTTTTTTTTTAATTCCTCTTTCACAACTGAAGTGATGATACTGATTTAACACCACATCTGATTACTTTTAATCACTACATGGTTAAGACACTGAGTCTACCTCCATCTGTTTCCTTTTTGTATAATATAAACTTGAGGTTTCTTCTCAGTGTCCTTTTTTCCCCTTTTAGCACACATTTCAGAACTACTTTTGAAAGATAAGCATTTTACAGAACAACTTCTTGTCCCCTAATTCCCTCCTACAGCAGCAGAAAGTCTAACAGCCTGGGAAATAACTATGTTCCTCTCCAACATGAAAGCTTAGACAGAGAGTCTCTGAAGGTAAGACTGTTTATGGGCAGGCTGGAACACCCTCCTCCCTCAGAAAACAACTCTCCTTTCTAATGTTTTCTGGATGCTGCTGTCCAGTTTCTCACAAGCCTCTTATTACTGCAACAGTCCTCCTTCCCCATCTCCCTCAAGCAAATCCAATTAGCTCCCACAGGTCTTTCCCACTCCGGTCCCAGAAGGAACTAATTTTTAACCACAACCCAAGGGTTACGTCAAGGTAGGTCAGTACTGTAGCCCTCAGTACAAGTGTTTTTCAGCTAAGTACCACAGGCATGTAAGTTCATCTATACAGTCCAACAGCTGTTCAGTGCTGGCAGAAAAAACAATCTGAAAAGGTGGGTAAAAAAATTGGCAATTAGCCTACAGGGCATGGCATGCTGCCACAGCTACCCTGTTATCAGCTTGGCTGTTTTTCACAGTTTGAAGCTAGAGCATGCTTTCTTTACTGTTGCACCTTTGACTGCAGGGTAGGGTAAGACCCTAGTCTATTCTCTCTTCTCTTTTGCACCTGCTTTCCCGTCTTTCAAGTTATGACTTCTTCTGTTTTCTTGAACCTGGAATAGGCTTTATATATATCCTTGCCTTATTTTGCCCCTTCTTCCTTTTTTATAACATTTTATCTGTTAAACAATACGGGTACATGCTATAAAATATCTGGGATTATTTACATGAAAAAAATGCTGCGCAAAATAAGCTATTTAAGTTTTGTTCAAAATGCAGATGTTACCTGTCTATGTAACAATATTGCCAAAACTGGGGGTAAGAAGAGGGAGGGCTCATATAGCAATCGGTTCCATTTTGACTTCCAGGCTCAAAACACCAAATACTAGCTTAGTAAGTATACTGAAATCAAATTCAATCCTGTTTCAGAAATATTCGTTGAATAAAAATATGGCAAAATATTTTCCCAAATTGAGCAGAGGTTATCACAATTAGTAAGAGTGCATAAATCTTACCTTTCCTTGTAGTTAATAAAAATTTGATATAGGTTCTGATCATTTTTGTTAACAATAGAATCATTGATGTCCTGTGTTAGACTCCTGTGAATTTTCACCAAATCCTTAAAAACAGTAATGGGGAGGGGGAAAGGTTTTTTAAAAACAGAACAACTTAAAGCTTTGAATATAAAAATAAATTATTTCATGTTAGACACATTAATTTCAATAAATCGGAAAACAGATCATTTGAGTGTAGAACCTAATTTCAAGGTTTGCCACATCTTCCATACAGTGCGACAAGAAAAACGAAACTCCAAGAACTACCTATTAGAGACTAATTTATTCTAGCTTGGAACGTGCACTGTTAATTCATCTTCATTTTATAATGATAATTTTAAAATTAAGCAAGTCAAGTAAATGCTTTAGTGACAAGATAAAGTAATGATTCATGTCCCTGAGCTGTGAAAAATTAGTTTTGTACATTACATTGGTCAATTAGTGATGTTCTAGTGCTAAGTTAACTGCAGTCATAATGAGTTTCCCAATACAGCAGGCAACTAATGGCTGAAAGGCAAGAATATTACAGAAAGATTTGCTCCCTGAGTATAGTAGTAACTCACCTTACTTGTTCACTATTATACAAAAATCTGTAAGCAACTATAGGAGATTTCATCAGCCTTAATACTGTATGGATACTGTCAAAGAAGTCACAAGAAATTAAGTCAAAGCAGGTTAAAAAGTTTTGAAATCAGGGTAACTGACTGTAGGAAGCGTACAGACCACTGCACTGAAAAACAGAGTACTGTTTAAAGAAAAAGCCATTGAAGATGGTTTAATGCAGTAAATGACATACTACAAAAATAATATGCAATACTGAGTTGTGAACTAAGTGAAAACATTTAACTTCACTCTGATGAAACTAAGAGTACATATGAGGTCAATCACATCACAGGTGAGGGAGCAAAAACTTAAAACACATCAAATTCCGTTGCTAGCAATTGTATGGCCATATCCTCAGTATCTTAAGTTGCACCAGACAAAGATGTTATTATAGAAATGCTTCCCAGTTAATATATTGCAGGAGCACATTTTCTCAGGAGTGCACAGGGACTCAACTAAGCAACACCCCTGAAAAACAGCTTAATACTAAGGGGACAAAATGTCTTTTTAAGCTTCTATCTCCAATTCAAAACCAAGTTTTAAATTAAACTGATGTTAGCAACATTAGCAGTTAATGAAAGTTCAAACAAATTCAGTATGTTACATGTACTTCCATCTCTCTTTCCCTCTGTATGTCCATATATACGTCTCAATTCAAATGCATTCATAGGTGTACATACAAATGCATCTATGTATGTGTGCACATGTATATAGACAGATGTACATACAAATGCATCTATGTCTACATATATATATACATAGAAATATACATACAGAGATACACACATAGAGCCATACATACATTTTATAGGCCAGAATTTTGAAATCTGAGCCCTAATGAAGGGCACTCTCTTTAGACTGGTGAGTCGTTTGGGGTGGTTTGGGGGCCAGGAGGGGAGGTTCTTAAAAATGAAATATATTTTGACATCAGCAGATGATTTTGTCCAGCAAGCATCTTTCAGAATCTATATAAGGAATATACCATCACCCTAAAGCACTGATCCTTCACCACAACCCTTTAACAGAGGCAAATTCATCCTGTTCTGAGAACACCACACTTGCTCTCCACATTGCAGTTTGCTGTAGAGCTCTGCATAACAGCTATTTTTAATTTAAAACAAGCTTCCACTGCCCTCCAGCCTTCCTGCTGAGGAACTGCCACAGAGACAAGGTCTGAGCAGACAAAGCATTTGCATGCATTTTTGGCTTAGACAAGCCCTATATCTCTTTTAATGTTTTTGGATGCCTATGAAATGTTACTGGAGTCAGAAATAAGCACCAGCTTGTAACAGCAGAATACTGAATGCTGATAATGAAAAACAAAATAAAACAGCCTAAATGTAACAGTTTACTACACGTCTTCCTAGTTTCAAATAAACAGGTTTTGTTCTTTTTACTCCTCTTATCTGATCCCCTTGCGTTTCTTTAACTAGTAGTGAATAGGCTGACCTCCCAGTTTGTGGTTAGAGCGTGTAAGCCTTTCCAGCATGTAAGCCTTTTTTATACCCCTGTGCAGTGTTTCACGTTGGCTGGCTTTAGGTTTTTCAACGCACTTAAGTCAACATGCCTGGGCATACAGAGCCTTAGGAAAGAGGTTTACAGGAACTTAGGTAGGGCACATCAGGGCCTTATTTGAGATGAATATAAGAAACATTAATGTAGGACAGAATATAAATTTGTTTTCAAAAGCCAAAGGATCTCTACAGGCAGCTGACACACTTCACGACAAGTAGATTACTGATGTCTGCGGCAGTATTTCAGACTAATATTCAAAGAGGAGGAAATTACAGCAATTGAGATTCAGACTGAAAACTGTAATAGCGGGACGAACATTGCAAGGTGTCAGGTATCATCATCAGTGTAATAACTGTTGTAATTTAATTTCTGTCAGGATGGTGCTGGAACAGCAACTAACACAGGTTCCCACAGAACAAAAAAAAAAATCCCCAACACCACTTCCTACAGCCTTGAGAGCCTGTGGGACATGCCAGAGATGGCCAAAACAGAGGTGATGTTTCACAGGCAATAAAGGTTTGATATGGCCCATAGGCCACACTCTGGGGACCCTTTCTTTACAGTGTGCATCATAAAAGAACATTCCTTTCATTTGTGTCTGTTGAGAGAGGCTTCACACCATATCTGATGTCTTCTTTTAAAGTCAGATAAAGACATCTGCTGAATACTTTCATCAACTAAAAATATGTCAATTGTCATACTATTATGATTAGGCCAAAAATAAATGGAACGAAGTAATAATCACAGAAACCTTTAAGATTTCAAATAAACCTTTCAAATAAAGAGGTGTCCTAGATACTTCACAGAGGATTCCTTATACTTTCCAGTGCCATATTCTGAATCCAAAACTGCGAGCTACCCTAACTTCAAAATGTCTTCAATGGTGACAGAGCCAGTGTAGATACAAGGATTTGCAGAGTAGCTACAGAAATCCTCATGAAAGAACCACTCAGCGTATGGTTGTAGGCAACCTAACAGTCACAACTTTGTACCATCACTAAAATATCAGCATGTATTGGAAGATAACCCGTTTTAGAATCATAGAATCATTTGGAGTGGAAGGGACCTTAAAGGTCATCTATTTCCACCTCCCCTGCCATGGGCAGGGACACCTTCCACTAGACCAGGTTGCTCAAAGCCCCATCCAACCTGGCCTTGAACACTTCAAGGATGGGGCATCTCTGGGCAACCTGTTCCAGTGTCTCACCACCCTCACAGTAAAGAATTTTTTCCTAATATCTAATCTAAATCTTCCCTCTTTCAGTTTAAAACTGTTACCTGTCATCCTATCACTACACTCCCTCCTAAGAGACCCCCTTCCCATCTTTCCCGTAGGCCCCCTTTAAGTACTAGAAGGCTGCTATAAGGTCTCCCCAGAGACTTCTGTTGCCCAGGCTAAACAACCTCAACTCTTAGCCTATGCTCTAGGGGAGGTGCTCCAGCCTCCTGATCACCTTCATGGCCCTCCCATCTTCTATAAATTATTAGCTTCTAAGGGTCAAAGATACTCCAGTTTATAACCATTCACTATCTGACATGATAATACCACTTATCCTATTCCCTCAAGCAGAAAAAAAAAAACCCAAAATAGCGTACACATTCTTTTTTATCAAATACCCTAATACCTACATAAATGCATTGTGCACCATATTTCAAATAATCATTTTGTGCAGTAACATACAACACAAATATATCATAACCAGCTATGAACCTTTTATCTGTTCATTAAATATGCAATTACTTACAGGAATGTTGATGAAAACAGTATCAAACTCTGATGCTGACAGAAACCTTTTCAATGGCACCATGAAAAACTGCAAGGAAAAAGAATTTATATATACATTGACTATGTCATTATATTTTCTAGACTGTTATAAAAATACGTAAGTTACAATTCTATAAATAGTATCTTACTTTCTCTATCGATTCCAGAGTTTCAGTGTATTTCTCTTCAGTTTGCTTTATTTCAGCAAGACAACAGCTTCTTATGTCATTTTCAGTATATTTCTGCAATTACAGTGGAGTCAAGTTTAAGTCATTAACAGGTACCCAAAGGATAAGAAATGTATTTATTTGTTTAGAATTAAGCAATTAGGATAACTGCTTCCTGAAATTTTCTGAGTACTGCAGCCTCCAAAGATGATAGCATTAACCAAGAATATTTTAATGTTCAATTAGCTGATGACTTTAAGAGTTTTACTAAAATTCAGCATCAAAGGAGCATTATGAAAAGTTAATGTTTAGACATAAAACGCTGAACTCTCTGCATGTACTTCGGAAGCTGAAATACAAGGTCACATTTAATTTACATCCAGACTGAGAAATCTTAGTTAAAATACTCAGCACTTAATAATTCCATTAAACTTAATGGGGCTAAATCATGTAAGTAACTTTGTACTTCATCACTGTTCACACTTCTGTTTGCTGTTTTGACATATCTCCTTTGCGCTTCTCTCTGTCTCCATGTGACTCTACAAGCAGCTCCTGCAACTGGAACATGGCTTCTCACATCTACCAGATGCTAAATTATCTCAGAAATTACTCTTTAAAACCCAACTGCTGCAGTTTTTAATTTTCCCACAACAAACATTAAATTACCATCCTTATCAGCTGCAGACAGAAGTAACCATTTTGCAAAAATACAGTCTGTCATTACCAGTAGAGATGTACTTAATGAGCATCATCTGATGATCAGCCTCATCTCAAAAATCTATCATTTATTCCCAAATTTGTTGGCAGGGGGAAGCAGGCGCTGTCACAGTTAACCAGAGTTAATCTCAATAAAGTATTAGAATTTGACATTATTCAGGCTTTTAGTTATTTTTCACCTTTAACTTACTGAGCTCAATACTGTTCAAATTGCTTGCAGTACTTGCACCAATACAGAAGTTGTTGTACCCAATAGGAGCTTATATCCATTTGCAAAATGTGGGGGGTTAAGAAATGCAAACAAAATCCTAGGATTCCGCTTAAAACCATTGACTTCACTTTTGTGCTCACCTAACCCAAACAGATCATTCACACAGGCACTTTTGGCAGAAACTGACATATTGGTTTTCTATCTGTACCACAAACATCAAGAATTTGAGTGCAATAAACAAAACGAGAGAGGAAATAAGAAATAATGTGCAAATACCAGTACAAGTGAGAAAAATTGCCTTTGAAGGTCAGCTATTGCTAGAGAAAATTTAGCGGAACAGTTTACTTTGCAAGATAATGACGATAAAACAAGGATGAGGGAGATGCATAGTATTTTGGCTGCTACTGGAGAATCTGAAAAGTATTGGGTTCTTTTAAAAATCTACTTGAAGATTGTCCTGCGCTAGTGTCTTCATATGCAAGGAATTCTCACGCAGGATTCAAATGAAGGAACTGCACAAAATTGTCACATTATCATGCAGTATATTTATAAACCTGAGAGTAAATAATCACAAACCAGAAATAATTACCACATTCAAGAAAGCTGTCACAGCAAAACAATTGTAATGTCTCCATTCATTACATGTTGTGGAAAAAAATATTTTACTGTACGATGTTTTCACTTTTCCTTTACTTTCCATAAGAAACAAATACAAGTCTGTTCAATCTAAATTATCTAGACTAAGAAGCAACTAAAATTAGAATGTGAGAGTTCCGATTGCTATATTAATCATTTGTTTAGAGACACATACGCAAGTGACATTTGCATCAGGAAAAAAAGAATCAGAGAAAATTTACACACTATCAAATGCCAGAGATTACCACTGTTACAGTTGAAGGAAAAAAAAAAAAAAGGCACCCACGCTCATTATGTGAAACCCAAAACTCAACGCATTTTGAGTTTAAGTTTAAAATAAAAACTCAGAACCAAGATCACAATAAAGTTTTCCATGATTCAAACACTTTTCTAAAGCATCCTGCCTGCAAGTGAATGTGACTTCATTAGATATAAAACAGTGTTTTCAACTCAATTTTTAATTTGGCTTTCATCGAATAATCTAAACTTTAGGAGGTAAACAAAATTAAGCAAAATGTGAAAAACTAACATAACTTTCTGCTTATTTCATCCTTGATATAAATGCACTACCTGCAGGATTTTGTATTAACAGAAAAACAGGCTTGAAAACAATATTGTTATACTCAAAACAATAGAGATTAAAACAAGGCAGTGATCTCCCAAAGACAAGATAGTGGTAACTCTGGGGAATCACCATAAAAACAGAGAACACAAATCACACTAGCTATTTGAATTTCTCAGTTCTTCATGTAGCTATATTACTAAAAAGCAATATGGAAAAGTAAAGGCAATTTTCCAACTTAAGACAACAGGAAGCATAACATATGTTCATGTCAATATAGAGGAAGAAAACAACTGTCCTAAAAAACATATCCTGTCATGGCCACAGACTAACATTTTCCAGATCAGAAAGGACATCTCTGAGGAAGAGCAGACAAGTACATTAGGGTTTCTCCCAATTTGCAAGTAAATTTTATTGCCTAAGTTTAGATTTTTTTTTCAAGACAGTTTTGAAAACTGACCATAGTACCTTTATATAATAAAGTAAATAAGCTACTTAAGTCATTCTCAGCAAGACCAACCTAATGATCAACAAAAGTTACATGGTTGAATAAGCAGGAATTTCATTGGTATGAAACAATTATCAGTTGTCCTCTTTAGATGAGTTGCCCAAATTATGGTTGAAACAACAGCATTTCATAATATTATAACTTAATTTTGGAAGTAGGACACTTTGAAGCAAGCAGTTAATTTAATAGCTCTTAAAATAGCTGGTAAATCTTACTATTCATAACTGGCAAACTTAACAAAATAAGTGATTATTGTATTTGATTTTAAAATTACATTTCTTTCAAAAAAATTACCGTAGTTAAGGTTCAACCCTTTGCTAAAACAGCCTGCAAAATCTTACACAGGAGATAATGCACTGCACATGACAGCTCCGGATGCAACTGAGCATGAATGAAGTTTCAGTGAAACTAGCTATAAAGAGATAATTTCACAAATCTTAACTTTCAAAAATGTAACTGCTATTGTTCGAAAATAGCTAGGAATTGGAAAACGTACAGGCTGCTGTGCTGCTTCATCTTTCATCAGGTCTTCATAAACCTCCCCACCTTCGTCTTCTCCATAGACGCAATCATACAACTCCTCATCTTCATCAACACCAGTTTCACTGAAAGGAAAAGACAATCAAAAAAGAAGAAAAAAAAAAAAAAGCTGTGCAGTGCTGGCAAATTACCATCAGCTCTGCAAGGGACCACTCCTCATAGGAAAAGATTTCTACAGTAAACAAAGAGATTAATTAATAGAACTATCTAATGAAAATAACTCATTAAGTGCATTAATTTTCTTTCCTCAATGCATTTAAAATATGATTATACGAAATCGACACAACACTGAAGACTGCATGAATTTAGAACCACACAGGAACTAAACCAGGCACTGAAAGCAGCTTGTCAGGACAGTTTTGTCATGAGGTACCATCCAGCTGCTTTCTTCTCTTAGTGCCTTTTCCCACCATATCCAGTGAAGAGGAACTGCTTCTCCTTACTGCCTGGCATCCCACTACACTGAGATGCGAGACACTGGTACAGGTCTCCTTCCTGCCTAAAGGAAGGATTATCTGGGGTAAAATACACTAAAGACTGCAGAGCCAGCAGCTGAGAGTCTGTACCTCCATACCATAAGCCAGTATCTTGATCAACTCATTGCAACCTCCAGCTACCCAAAAAAGAAAAAAGCAACCTTTCAAACTGAAAAATCAGACAGTTCAACAAAATAAAGTATACACAAGAAGTGTCCTCCTATTACCCAAGTTACAGAAACACCTCAGGATAAAGTCAATGCTCAACTCCACCCTCAGCTAATTCAGCTTCATTAGTCAGTCCTGCTGGAGTTTTGCCTACTTTGCACTAGGACCATATCAAGCCCGTAATATCTCTTTCACCCACATTTCTTAGGGTATGTCTACAAAAGAACTCTAAAAGATACTCAAAGTAGTGCAGTCATGTATTGGGTTTGTGTGGCAAGGTTTTGGTAGTGGGGGGGTTACAGGGGTGGCTTCTGTAAGAAGCTGCTGGAAGCTTCCCCTATGTCCGACAGAGCCAATGCCAGCCGGCTCCAAGACGACCCCACCGCTGGCCAAGCCCAAGCCCATCAGCAATAGTGGTAGCACCTCTGTGATAACATATTTAAGAAGGGAAAAAAAGCTGTGGCAGACACAGAAATGGCAGCTGGAGAAAGGAGCAAGAACATGTGAGAGAAACAACCCTGCAGACCCCCAGGTCAGTGAAGAAGGAGGGGGAGGAGATGATCCAGGCGCCAGAGCAGAGATTCCCCTGCAGCCTGTGGGGAAGACCCTGGTGAGGCAGGCTGTCCCCCTGCAGCCCAGGGAGGTCCATGGTGGAGCAGATATCCACCTGCAGTCCGTGGAGGACCCCATGCCAGAGCAGGTGGGTGCCCGAAGGAGGCTGTGACCCTGTGGGAAGCCCACACTGGAGCAGGCTCCTGGCAGCACGTGTGGCCCCGTGGAGACCGGAGCCCACACTGGAGCAGGTTTTCTGGCAGGACTTGTGACCCCGTGGGGAACCCACGCTGGAGCAGTCTGTGCCTGAAGGACTGCACACCGTGGATGGGACCCATGCTGGAGCAGCTCTTGAAGAACTGCAGCCCATGGGAAGGACCCATGTTGGAAAAGTTTGTGGAGGACTGTCTCCCGTGAGAGGGACCCCACGCTGGAGCAGGGGAAGAGCGTGATGAGTCCTGCCCCTGAAGAGGATGAAGCGGCAGAGACAACGTGGGATGAACTGACCGTAAACCCCATTCCCCGTCCCCCTGTGCTGCTGGAGGGGGTAGGTAGAGAATCCAGGAGTGAAGCTGTGCCTGGGAGGAAGGGAGGGGTGGAGGGAAGGTGGTTTGAGACTTGGTTTTATTTCTCATTACCCTGCTCTGGTTGACTGATAACAAATTAAGTTAACTTTCCCCTTGTTGAGTCCGTTTTGCCCGTGACGGTAATTGGTTGAGTGATCTCTCCCTGTCCTTATCTTGACCCACGAGCCCTTTGTTATATTTTCCCTCCCCTGTCCAGCTGAGGAGGGGAGGATAGAGCAGCTTTGGTAGGCACCTAGTGTCCAGCCAGGGTCAACCCACCACAAGTCATAATAATACAGAAACTTCATCAGATGTTCTGATAATTTTGAGATTTTTACTGTTAGAAAACAGCACTGAAATCCTTCAGAGTGAAAAACAAATTGAGGATCGGTCCACAAGAACAAGAAAGGACAACCAGTTCTGTAAGTGGATCATCAGTACTCAAGAAAAGGACATCAGAAGCTTTACTGGCAGAGACTAATGATTTTGAAGAAATCAAAATTAATGAGAATTGCTACCAACACAGCTGCCACATGAATTACTTGGAAATGCCAGACAAAGTCACTATGTCTATAGTCAGGACTATATAGAGAAACCAAGTGAATTTTTTATTTCTCATTAAATATGAGGGGGTTTGTTTGTTTTGGTTTTGGTTTTTTTTAAATCAAGGAGATCAGAAGGATAAAGTTAGCAAGCACTGCAAGTTTCAATAGATGGAATGATTAAAAAAAAAAAAATTATTTGGGGGATTCAACAGGAAACTCCCTTCCTTTTCCAACAGATACCATGCCCCAGGAGCAATAGAGAGCTCAGGTGCTCCAGGGTAGTCTAACATTTCAGCTTGCACCAGTGATGATGGTGTGCTAGCATTTCACATTGAACACTAGCAGCTGTATCAGATGCAGCTGACACCCTCCCTTTTACCACCTATGCTCCAGGGAACAAAAGCTGGCAAAAAGGCAGAGTAAGGATAGAAAAATTTTAACTACTACAGCTCTTTCTGACAAAAAGCTTTGCATTCACTCTAAATTCTTTAGACACCATTTAAACTCAGGGACATTTAAGTTAATTTTAGTCAAATACACTTAGTAATTAAGAGATTCTAAAAAATGTGGGCCATTTGCATCATTCACTGGCACTTTTGTTTCTTATGGAGAGAGTACTTCTTGAATTGCTTCCTCCACAATTGAGACAGGATGTAAGTATCAAATTTCAGTGAATAATATTTGTAATTTGATGCAAAAAAAATAAAAGTTATGAATCGCAGTTTCTTTGGTATGATTTGTTAACTTTTTTTTTAAATTAAAACTGTCTCCGAGTACAGAATTCACGTACCTATTTAAAAACCGATATAAATGTTATTTTCAAACAGTGCTAATGCCACCACTAAGTGATGAGGACATCAAGTCTAGCCCACTTGAGTCTCAGAGGAGTCTGCAACTTCTACCTTCTGCATGTTCAGCTACACAGAGTGAAAAGCAGCTATCTATGAGACAGCCCATCACCTGCAGGAGACAAGGATGAGCTTTGCAGGGAACGTGATAAATTGAATAATGCCATCCATGGTGGGGTTTCCCTTCTTTATAGGCAGTAAAGAAACAAATCTGCAGTGTGAACAGCAGCTACTTCAACCACATCACAGCAAGTGACATACAATGTGGCCAGAGCCAATATAGAGCCAGATGAGCACTAGTGAGGATGAGTGCTGGTGAACTTGGAGCTTTGGGACAGTGAACTCTGATCCAAGCTCTTGTCCAACATGATTCCTAATGGATCTTGAGAGACCCTAGCCATAGGGTACAAGAGTACTTCTTCCTCACAGTTTTTATGCCCAGATGTATTTATCTCACCAGTCTGCAAAATAAAGCTGCAGTCTACCGCTCAATACTATACAGTATGTTCATGGCTATCTTACTTGCACCTCAAAGCCAATGTGAAAACTGGCAAAAATTAATAATCCTGCAAACACATACCCAGAGAGGTAAATGCACTCATACAAAGAATTTCATTGACTTTTGGGAAACGACCCACTTGAATTATGATCCAAACATGCATTTTCTCTGCAAGTTCAAGACAATTTCCTTGGGTCCCTTACAACTGATATTGTACTTCTATGAAAGCTTTCTCATAGTACAGACAGATAATTTAAAAACACATTCATGATTTACTTTGCTACCAGCACCCTCTATGAAACATGCTTCCTTACATATATAAATGTATTGCAATCATTCAGATAAGCTCTCACAATTAATTCTTCCTGACCAGCATAACAGCTAACAAAATCTTTTTAAATCAAATAAATACCCCATTCTCATTAAAACCACGTGTTCTATAATGTCATATAAATAATAGCATGCAACTGAAACCAAAATCTTTCATTTAACTAAAGATTTAAAACATACTCTATTAAATCAGGAAGACCTTTGTAGATATCTTCATCATCAACGCTTTCTTCTGTAGGGAAGGGCCTATAGAAAGAAAAATAGCATGAAGTACAGACAGCACTAGTCTAGTCACATAGTGCGTTTTTGTTTGGTTTCTAAAATTTTCACACAGATTACTGTATGTTAATGTGTTTGTATGTTCCCCTCCTTCTCTGATAAACAGTATACGTTTATTTGGACTTCTCTATATGAATTGATACTTAATATAATAAAAAAAACCTACTGGATGGGGTTGTTATAAATCACTAATATACATCATTGTCAGTTGTTCAACTGAGAATATTAACTGTTCTTTTTAGCCCAGGACATGATTATGGGACTGGCTAGGAATTTTGTCTATGTTTTAAAAACATCATCCATTTATATATTATAAGATTGCTGAATCAAACCATTCAAAAAGATGGAGAACACCAAAGCATTAAGTCTTTCACCTTCTCTCACAGCCCACAATTATAGTTCATGAGGTTAGGTTTGGTTGGGGTTTTCTGGTTTCTTTCTGAAAATTAGAATCTCACAAACTTGGCAGTTTTGCTGCTTTTTAGAAAGGAGAAAGAAGAGAAAATCCATTTTTCTTTACAAAGATGAGCACTGCATCAGCTTGACTTACAATCCACGTATCACAATTATCACAAGTTCTGTAATACTAACTGCTCATTTGTTCACCTTGTGTTTCAGCATGAGAAGTAAATGTAGTTCAGGCACTTCAGTAAGCGTACCAGAGGCAGAAAAAACCCTTCGGAGCTCCTCAGAGGTCCAGAGCCTTGGTTAGCTGTCCACTGGGCAATATGGTTTACAACCAGAGAAGTTCTTATTGGGGGACACTGTCTACACTGCCTCTAACAACTTTGCCAAGGAGCATCATGCAAGAGGCATTATTCCCACCATTCACTGGGGCAAAACCATACCTTATTCCTGTGCCTAATGCAATAGGAGTGCGAGAAAGTTTTGAAAGTGTTTCTATCACCTGGAGAAGAAGGAAACAGAAACCATGATTAGTTGTAGAACAGAAGTAATAAAACATTCTGTTCTCTATTGTTTCATTATCAGCAACACCATTTCACACCAACAGATATAAACAGACACAGAATCTGGCTGTGGCAAATACTGAGGGCACTGAACTTCCACGGATTTCCCATGAGCTGGTCTTCGGTGCTTTTGTACTGAGGGATGTGATGGAAGCACAAAGAGAGGAAAAGGGAAATTTGTTATTTACAAGTTTTAGCACAAGTAAAAGCCAATTTAAGTGGATTTGAAACCAGGTCACATATGTCACAAATATACATTCAATTTACAATTGGACCTGGATGAAACTGTAACCAAATTTTATCTTACAGACTGCTCTGAAGATTTATTTTTTTAATTGTAGCTCCAGAAGAAAATCAAAGTATTAATTTGAGCTTTTCCAAACACTGGCCAGAAGAGGGAGCCAAATGCCAAACCAGCAGAAAGCCACCTTCTCAGGACTGGCTCGAAAAGGAAAGGTAATGTTTTATTAGCCAAACAATTAAAGAAGCTGCACATTTGAGCCATAAACTTTATTTATTTTTAAAAGATTACAGTAGTCTGAAAGGTCTCATTCTAAGAAAATACCTCCTGTAAGCGCTCAAGGTTATACAATAAGAGAGGAAGAATATTAGGGAGGGTAGAATACATGTACATACGGTCGCACACACAGAATTATTTTGCTGTCAGCTGTAATAATAAAAGACCAACTTGTACTCTGCCTAGCATGTCCTCTCTGTCACAAATATTTTCTCTTATTTTAAGCACTATCAGATTGGCAAGTCTTATTTGCTAGAGAGAGAAAAAGAGGCAAAATGACACCCTGTCTATACTTCCAATGACAAGAGGGGGGCAAGTCTGGTGAACTAAATATCCGTTTCTTGTTTCAACATGTTATTTCCCAGCACACAGAAAATCTTCTGCAAACTATTCCACCCACGCAAACCCTTTTCCTTAGAGGGATTCTCACTTATCTAGCATAATCAAATCCAGTAGAAGTATAGCTTATTCTTCACAGCTAATTAGGGTTGCTTCAAGATAACACAAAAAAGATCTGTACAAAAAAATTTATGAATTTTAGGAAGCTAACTAGCAAATGTTATTCTCAAGATGTACCACCAAATTACATTTTACAGCTATCAATATGAACACAAACAAAAGCAAGACTTAAAAACCATGAGGAATAGAAAAACTTTTTCACAAATTGGTGTCAAACCTTCATTTAAGGGAAGGAAAAGAACGGCAAAGGGAGAGGGACAGAGAGAGAGGGAGGGGAAAGGGGGAGGAGATGGGGGAGATAGAAGAGAAAAACAAACACACCACCACCACACCACACACACTGAGGAAGCCAGAGAAGTGTTTATGAGGACATGTACACACAGAAAAGGAGAGAAAGGAACTATGTGACTAGAGACAACAGAAGACTACTAATAATTTTCACTGCTCTTGGAACAGAGAAGGTCTAGCATTGCAGGAAGAGCAAGCTAACATGCTAGGAAGCCAATGGGCAGATTTCCATCAAAAACTGAACACCAGATAATCCACCAAGAAGAAAATGGTAATCATCACAACAGCACTCAGTACCTCAACAAGAGACACACTGCGTTCTCCAGAAGTACGCGATAAAGCATGGCCACACTGGCATCGCAAAGGGGAACAGTAATGGGCAGAGATCGCTATTTCAAAACGAAACAATTAAGAACTTAAGACCATTACCCACCCCAGTGTGTATTTAAGATCAAAATACCTAACTGAAAACAGACATAAATTCTACCAAATAAAAGGTAATGCTTGCCCATTAACTGCTCCAATTAAAGCACAGCTTAAAACAGCACTCTGTCAAGAAACAGAATCGTTTCTACTGAGGGGTCTTCTTGCAGTTGTGGTTTCCTTGAAGAATTCTGACAAACTGTCAGGAATACATACACAAGTAATCGTAAGTGAAACTACCACTTCTGGTCAACACACTATTTCAACATCACATACATATAAATGTATTTGCTCCAACATGAAGTGAGGCAAGGAAAGATTCTCCTTCCACATGAAATTTCAGTTCTTTGGTTCTGAGCCACTGCAGGAACTCTTTAAGAGTTCCCGAATTTCTAGGTCCATGGGGAAGGTCACAGTTACGTATGGGCTCAGTTGTCAGAAAAACAATCAGAGTTTCAATAGACAGTCATCAAAACAATCTAACTAAACCCAGCAAAATGTCTGATTTTCAACAAACCAACAGACTCCGGAGTTTTTCAGAACAGTGCTAGTTTGAAGCCCTATACAGCTGACGTGGGAAGCTACAATATAGCGCAATTCTGAACTCCAAAATTACAGTGTACCATACATGTGAAAGTCCATAACATTCAATTTAATGCTTTTCATGTGCTTTTTTTGCCTTGCTCGCTTCCTTTCAGCGGAGCTTTAATCCGTTCTACCCATTTAACCCTAAATGATTGCCCAGTTCTCTTCCACAGCAAGGACTCAGTACAGATGCTCCTGTACTTTTGAACGAGGCTAAACTGGATCTTAGCTTAAAAGCAAAAGTAGCACTCCTTGCTTGTACAAAGTCCACAACAACAGGGCTTCCATGGCTGGCTCTGCTCTGCACCAAACAAATGTACAAAGGACTGCAGGGCCTTTGCACGCATGCTATTACCAGGAACGGGAAGTAAAAACTAGATACCAAGTAAAGATTCATATTTATGTTCTGGCTAGCTATGACACATGAAAAAAGAAACAGTTATATTCCAAAACATCCTGCAACAACTACATCCCTTCGCACTAGAAAACTCAGTAACTCTATGACTCTCCTGCAGCAAACGTGAAATTGGGAGGTGTTAGCAACAGACTTTCAGGCATAAAAGGAAGTCCCACCTGCACCCACCTCTATGTAGCTCCTTTGCACTGACTAATGCCATCAGACAGAGGTTAGGCAAGTCTTTCTTTAGAAGTCACATCAAAGCCACGCTCGCTTCAAGACGATGTGAACATCCAAGTTTGTTTTTCAGTATATAATCCTTTTATGCAAAATATGACATGAAATTCAAATCTACGGCCCTGCAAGAGGAAGCGCGCCTCGACCTGCGCCCCAGCAAGTGGCTCTGCTCCTCATTCATGTTTTGGGCACAGCTGGCAAGAGCAATGGTCTCGCACTACACATTAACTTTTTACTTCATTAATTACTCTAACAGCAGATTTTTTTTGGCTTTGCATTTATTATTTCACTTGACTTGCTGTTTTAGGTCAAACTCTCCAGTTTACGTAAGCACTTTCGCATCCCTTGCCAAAACGTTATTCTGTAATTTCCTGCAGCCATACTCTTCAGTAAATCACATCAGATATTCCTATGCATACTTACAGCAGCAGTACACTAGAGGGACTATTTTACTTCTTTCCACAGCAGTGGTGTGTCTGAGTTTAAAACGTGCCTTATTAAGTATTTTGGTGGAGGTCGCTTTTTAATCTCGTTTCTTAAAAAAGAACTTACAATCATGCAGTTCAAGAGCAGACAAAGTACATCTTTTAAAAGTACTTTTCCACTTTTAGAAGAAACAGAAGTAAATAATTTTGCAACTCCTTGTCTCCCCAAACAGGCAACATTTCGTTGCTGTTGACAGCTGCTGTCAGGACTAGGCCCATGTTTATATTTCTGACATTTACCTAAACTGAAAACATGAAGTGATCAACAAATGTTGATGGCAATGGTTTCATAGTTTATGCCAATAAAACCTAGAAAGACTCACTTGCGGGTTAGATCTTCAAAGCAGCCGTTTCCTTGTATGCACTTAAATCAGGATATGTTTTTCTAAGACACAGTAAAAGTCACTAAGAATTCACAACCATATTGCCTATCAAGTCTTTGTTTTCAAAATCTGAGCATCTAGTTCAGTATTTGAGTGTTGCATTTCGTTGAAAACTTAGCTTTACTCCCTCCCTTGAAGTGAATTTATTTCCAATACTAACGTGCTTTTTGACATGCTACTCTTTGATGCATGCACATGGGTTTCTTCCCAAATCGGTCTTATTTTACTTCATCAAATGGGGGGGGGGGGGGGGGGGATTCCTTTATAAAAAAAAAAATAATAAAAAAAGAGGGAAGA